AAATATCCCAACGACACGCCAGCGCAATATGCGAATTGTGGGAATATTACACAGGCTTCCCCATGCCAATTACGAAATTTCAAAAGCGCCCCAGATATACCCCTGCGGCGATCTGAGATTTCAAGATGCCGCAGGAGACGCCCGCCTTCCATCTGCGAAGACATCCAGACACCCCAGGACGCAGCGCATTATCATCTTCGACGGTTCCAAGCCTCCCAGGATATGCCCCCGCGTGTTTTCCGGAAAGCATTGCGTCGAGGTGGGCCCTGTGGCCTGTCTTCGAGAGCGAAAATCTCGCAGCGGCGCTTCCCCCTCGCCCCCTCCCCCCTTCGCCCGACGCCGCGCCGCTGCGGCGCGCGATGTAGCGGGCTCGCCGGCTGCTCAGGCGCCGTGCGTCTGGGTTGCCAAGCGCGCCGCCCGCGCTGCTGGCGCGATGCCTTCGTCGACAGAACAGCGCGCCAATTCGGTGAGATCGCGTGTCATTCCGCGCCGCAGATGCGTCGCGGCCTCTTTCTGCGTGCCCGATCCCGCGAGGACTGGCCCTCATCGCGCGCGCGTCAAACGCGCGGCGCGCCCCGCGCGCGTCGCGCAGCTACCAGACGGACGCAGGCCAAGACTTTCGTCAATGTTTGGGCGCAGTTTCCCTGCGCACCCGCCCTCGCGCCCACTTGACAAGCGCGGGGGGTGGGTGGGCGCGGGGTAGGGGGGCCAGTCGATCGGGAGATCGGAAGGTCGACCCATCGACCAGTCGATAGTTCCGCCAGCCCCCGCGGACCTTTATTTTTATTTTGCGGCGCTTCGCGCTTGCTATCTGCGCGCGTTGCGACCGGCGGTTGCGCTTGGATCTACCTGTTTTGACTGGCTGTTTTCTGGTGGCTCCCTTCGCGCGCCCCGGGGGCACGCGCCGCGTCGGTCGCGCGTCCTCGAGGTGAGCCCAGCGGCGACGAACCGCGCGGCGTCGGCTGAGCGCGCGGCAGGGTCGGTTCGCTCTCGCGCGAACGCGAAGCCACTGAATGTGCATCGAGCTTCTTTTGTAGCGAAGGATATGCGGCCGTGAAAAAGCGCCCTCTTCGTCTGGCGCGCACGGCGTCGTGCATTTTACGCGCGCCGAAACGCGCGAGGGAGAAATCGCGCAACGAGGCAAGCCCCCCGCGGGGGCCGCGGCTTGTCCGAAGTATTGTTCGGCATTTCCTACATATGGTTAACGGCCATATATATATGTATATATATATATATATATATAGTCGGCTGAACATTTGTCTTGCCCATTCCATCCCCGCGTCCGAACGGGCATCTTGTTTTCCCCGGGCGCCCCCGCCCAGGAACAAAGAGCCCGCCCCCTTCTCTTCCCCGCTCGCGCGCCCACGCGCTCGCATCCCCATCGCCATCACCGCCGCCATCCTCGCTTGCGCACCCACTCGCGCCCCCTCGACCGTCTCGCTCGCACCCGCGCGAGAGGAAGCGCCGAGCGGGGGCCTCGTCTGCGAGTGAAGTGCGAAAAAGTCTCAGGCGGGAGAATCCCCCTAGGGCCCGCAACCTTGCAACTGTCGTCACTTTTGGCTTCCCCAGGCCCGAGTGCGGAGGAAGTATCAAGCGGGGGCCTAGTCTGTGAGCGAAGGACGTCCCAGGCGGGGGTCCCCCTCCCTGTTGGGCCCGCAGATCATGTTACCAATCCGAGAGGGTCATTGGAAACTCGTGAGTGTCGTCACTTTCGGGCGCCTGAGGCTCGAACGTGAAGGAAGCATCAATCGGGGGCTTCGTCTGCGAGCAAACCGCGAGGAAGTCTCAGGCGGGGCCCCCCTCCCTGTGGGGCCCAGGCTTGGCGTTGGCATTCCGACCGGGGCCATGCGAATCCCGTGGCTGTCGTGACTTCTGCGCACCTCGGGCCTCGCTCGGAGTGCCAGGGGCGCGCGCCGGCCCGGCTCTCTCGCCCCTGCTACCTGCCGCGGGGAATCTGGCAGCAGGTGCGCGGATTCAAGTCCCCGATCTACCAGGAGGTCGCCGAGCTGCCGCGACGCGGCGCCGACGGCGCCGACGACGACGGCGAGGCCAAGGCGCGGGCGAGAAGCTTGCTCATGTTCAGTCCCATCGAGCAGGAGCTCGCGCGGCAGAGCTCGGGGCGGCGCGTCGCGCGCCGCTCGGGGGCCATCCTGGCGCGCGCGCCCCGCCTCACCCTTGCGCTGTCGCATGGCCAGACGCCGCGCTAGGGCGCTGCAAGCTTGCGCGAAGGACGAGGACGCTGGCCGCGCGGGCGCGTCGAACGAGCAGTCGTGGCTGCGCCTCTACGCCGCGTTCTCCCGCGCCGCGCGCATTCGGAACGCGCTGATCCCGCGGCCGCCCTCGCGCGAGGTCCTGGGGCGCGGGCAGCCGGCGCCCTCGCGGAAGGCGCTCGGATCGAAAAGTCCGATGAGACAGCGAAGACTTCCAAGGGCGAGGCGGAGCAGCTCGCCGCGCGGCTTGGCTTCGCGCCGCCCCTCGCCTGAGCGCGGCCGCGATTGCCTCGAGGCCTGCGGGTTTGCCCCGGCGGCCTGACCCGCGGGGCTGCCCCAACGGCCTGCCGGCGCGCCCCGGCGGCCCGCGGGGTCGCCCCCAAGGCGTGGCCCGCGGGGTTGCCCCAAAGGCTTCGCGAACCAGCCGTCGTCGAACGCGCGCGCGTTGGCCGGGGCGGCGACGACACCGAGGAAAATCGATTCGTTTGCCCCGACCAGGGAGAAGGGAGGCGCGCATGGAGAAGAGGCAGGAGGAATATGAGGAGGGGGGAAACGGGGAAGGGGGGGCGATGATGAGGACGAGGAGGAGAAAGAAGAGGAGGAAGACGAGGAGGAGGAGGAGGAAAATAAAGAGGAGGAGGTGGAGAAATATAGGAAGGAAAAAGACAGGGCTGAGCAGAGAGCGAGAAGAAGGTGTCCGCCAGGGCAAGGAGGACAAGGCTACGGGCAAACTAAACATATTGTCATGCGGGGGCCTACCGTCGGATAAATTAAACCTTTTTGTTTCTGACATTGCCTGTATGAGGGCATGCCCGACATCAAGTTTGGATCGGATGTCGCAACTCGTCGGAGGCTCCAGTTTTCGACGGTTTGATTTTCGATCCTGGAGATTTCGATTTTTGGGGCCCCGTCATCCCGAATGGATCCAGGACGAAACATTGTCTTTTGTGAAAGGGTCAGGATTTTTGTGGCTGCGCCGGGGTGGCGTGGGCCGGGGGAAACAGAAAAAACAAATCAAATAAACATCGCCAAATGTTCAGGGGCTCGTGAGATCGCCATGGCCAGGTCGGGGTCATGGAAATGGGGGCGGGGGGTGCGACACTTGTTGCACGCAGCTGGTTTCGGCCCCGCCGCCAGGCGATTTCCTTAATCCATAAATGGTCGCACTCGGCGCTGTGAGGCGTTAGGGGAACCACTTGATGAACTGATTCGGTCAGCTCCTCTTTGCGCAGAACCTCCCTTTTGTCCGAACCGACATTGGGAAAAGGTGTCACGAGATGTTTCCCGACCTCCGGAGGATAATTCGCCTGGCGATGACCCAACAATACGCGGGTGTGAGTACCGCAAGGCAGGCAGGACGAGGGAAGGACAGTTCCCTGCTGGACCACGAAACGTGTGAGGGGTGTGCCGAAGTGGGTGCGGGGCCGCCATGCGGACCCAGCCTCTGGGGCCTTGGGTGGGGCTTTCTATGCGAGGGGAATGCCGAGATGTGTGCGGGGCCGCCATGCGGACCTTGACGCTGGGGCGTTCGGTGGAGCTGCCTGTGGGGCCAGGCAGCGTTGTGGGTGCGCCGAAATGCGTACGGAGCCGGACCCTGCCGCAGGGGCTTTCGGTGGAGCTTCTTTAATTTTATGGGGACACGAAGCGTGCGAGGGGTGTGCCAGCATGGGTGCGGGGCCGCCGTGCGGACCTTGCTGGTTGGGCCTTTCGTGGAGTTCCTTATAGGGCCCCCAGGGCCACGAAACGTTTGAGGGGTGTGTTAGAGTGGGCGCGGGGCCTCCATGCGGATCCTGCCGCTGGGGCCTTCAATGGAGCTCTTTATGGGGCTACGAGACTTTTGAGGGGAGTGCCGGGATGGGTGCGGGGCCGCCATGCAGACCCTACCGATGGGGCCTTGAGTGGGGTTTCCTGTGGGGCCGCCAAACGTGGGAGGGATGTGTCGAAGCAGAGACGTGCGAAGGGCAATGGCAGGGGTGGGACGCGGGAGGAGGGGGATGAGGAGGAGTGAGGAACGCAGGGCGCTGCTGGTTCAAAACGAGCGCCCAACACTGCAGGATGGTTGGGAAAAATGCACGGGGACTCCAGGGCACGTTATCCTCAGGACCAACTTTCCCGCACGCCGCAAGAGGACCGATGGCAGAAGGGCCTCCTGGAGGGGCCCGCCCCGCTCGCTCACACAATCCAGAGGGCCCCGGGCCCAAGCACCGCGTTTTCCCCAGTCTCCCACCTCCACGTGTCCTCCACTTCCTCCTGCCCGCACAACCTCCACACCCTTCTCCTCAGCCCGCACCTCCACCTCCTCCCCTGTTGAAGTGCACTGCGATCGTCCTTGTTACTGCCTCCTGCTGGTGCCCATCTCACCCGCTCACCGCTGACATTTCGCTTGCAAGAGAGCTCGATCTCACGGTTGCGGAAAATCTTCGAGCATCCCACCTCTTCCCACACGTTCGTCTTCCCGCCCTCCCGCCCAGCTGTGGTTGCCAGGAGTCCCTCCCAAAGAAGGACACTAAGAGTAATACTACGACTAAAAGTACTAGTAATACAAATCATAGCGATATTACTAACAATAGTAATGCTACTACTAATAATAAGAATCATACAGAGAAGACGCCTCCATATCCAGCGAGCGGCGGCTTGGTACTCGATCCTCCCGTTCCGCCTTCCGCACGCCCATGCCCCCGTCCGCCCACTCAGCTGTGACCGCCAGGAATCCCTCCCTTCCTCCGACCTCCTGCCACAGAGGAAGAGGCCCCGGCCGAGCAGCCCGCGCCCGCCGGCGGCGGCGCGCAGGGCGCGCGGCCCGCCGCGGGCGACGCGGAGCGCCGCGAGGCGCTCCGCCGCCACCGCTTCCGCGCGTTGCCGTCGTCGCCGGCGCTACACCGCTGGCGTCGCCGTCGCTTCGTCGCCGCCGTCGCCGCCGTCGTCGCAGCATCTGTGCAGTCAAGACTCCGAAATCTGCCACCGTGCTCCTGTCACACGAAGTGCAGTGTCCTCGGGTCCTGTTTCCCTAATCCCTGAGCCTCAGTCCTCACTCCCGAGGAATCTTGAAGGAGCCCGACCCCAATTTCTTCAGTGCATCGCGTCGGGTTAGCGGAGCGCCTCTCCGCTAATTGGCCTCAAAGCAGGCGCGCCGATTCCTTGAGTGCATCGCGTTGGATTAGCGGAGCGCTGCTCCGCGAATCTGGCTTCAAAGCATGCGATTCCCGGAAGGTTCCGCGTCGGATTAGCGGAGCGCCACTCACCTAAGTGGCTTCAAAGCATTTGTTCCGATTTTTGGAGTGGAGCGCCGCTCCGCGAATCTGGCTTCAAAGCATGCGATTCCCGGAAGGTTCCGCGTCGGATTAGCGGAGCGCCGCTCTGCTACTTGGCTTCCAAGCGTGCGCGCCAAACCGGCGATTCCCGCAGTCCTCCGCGTCGCATTCGCGGGACGCCGCTCCGCTAATTGGCCTCAAAGCATGCGCGTCAACGTTTTTTGCGTTGCGCATGCCTCCACGAGTCCCCCGAGAGACTCCATCCACGGTATCCCAGCGAATATCCACGATGCTTCGCCCCCAAGAGACCCAAAGAGGCCTCAACAGGCCCAATTGCCTCAAAGTGGCCCCCAGGAGGCCTCCCACGAGATGCCCCCGCGAACATTCAATAGGCTTCATACCCACAGCCCAGGCACGGTGGCGGGATGGGCCGAAGGCCATCAGATACCAGCTTGTTCGGGCGTAGGAGGGACTTTGGTGTTTGGGCTGTTCCTTAGATCTTGGTAAGGGAACCTATTCGTAATCGAAGTTCGCCGCGGCCAGAGAACCCCTTCGTTACTTATTCGGCATCCCTTACAACTGCACAATGACTGTAGCGACCGTCGTCACAGTCGCGGTCGTCACCGCAATTTGCGTCGTCACCGTTGATGAAGAGCGGGATGTCTTCGGATGTCGTAGTTTTCTTCTCGCCTCAGCGGGTGTTCCCCTTCCCTGGCTCGACGCAGAGACTGCCACGCAAGGGAAGTCGCTGACGTTTCACCGCTTGCTGGGCTGTCAGAGACGGGGTTCCGGCGCACATTCCATGCACGTGCCCATGGTTTACCGCAGCCCAATGTTGTGAAACGATTTAATCACCGTATTTTCTCAGGCAAGCCGCGGGTAAGTAGTGTCGATGGAGCTCCCTCCCCATCTCTCCCCTCTTGCATTCGGGCCCCCATTCCCAGCGTTATCCCCTACCTTCTAGTTGCCCCCTCCCGCCCCCCTCCTTCCCCCCTCCTGCCCTCCCCTCTTTGTCTCTCCATATGATTACCAATTTGAGTACTATACTCCTCGATACCCCGAAAACATGTTGAGAGTGTCCCGCCTCTCCATGCATTGTTCTTCCACGCAGGATTTCAAACGTTCATGTAGCACCCCGCAGTTGCGGATAAGAGAGAGGGGGCGAAGGGGTCGTCGGAAGCCTGCGAGGCTCTGAAGAAGCCCGCCGCAGGCGCCGATTTTTTGACACAGTAAACAAAGAGCCTGCTGCAGGGGCAGATTTTTTTGCTAAAGCAAGTGGGTGGGTCGCCGCATGGTCGTTGTTGGGTCGTGGGTGGGTCGCGGTGGGTCGTGGGGGTCTCGCGAGTGGGTCGCGTGGGGTGGGTCGCGGGTGGTGCGCGGGTGAATCGCGGGTGGGCTGTGGGTGGGTCGCGGGTGGGCCGCGGGCGGGCCGCGGACCGGGTCGCGGTTGGGACAACGACAATAAACAACAAGCAACACGCAACAGCAACAACACCACCACCGACAACAACAACAACACCAACAACAAACATATCAATAGTAGTAGCAGCAACATCAATAATACTACCAACAACAACACCGACAACAAGTTTAAGACTGTTCGCTCCCATCTGCATGTCATTCAACACGTATATCGCAAACCCTCGGTGCCCGCCCTCTCCGTCCTCGATCGCACCGCCTTTGGGAGGTATGTTCCTTACCTGCCACGCGCATTTAGCGCCGCCCCCAAAACAGGGGAAGAGGGGACGGATGCAAAGGGGAGAAGGATGGAGCACGAGAGAATTTAGCAGGAGAGAGGCTAGGAGCAGAAAACACGTGGCAGAACCAGACGGGCAGATCGGGCGGGCAGATCATAACAGGCGGGTCGGGAAAGCTGGCCCAGGCTGCCAGTTTGAGCAGGCGGGATGTTGAAGCGTGAGTCCTGCATGAAACGCGTGGAGGTCTCGACCGATACCGCGATTCTCAAGTAAATCGTGAGAGAAAAACCACAGCGAGGGCGTGATTCTTGAGAGTCGAGGGCGCGCCGTCTGAATAAACTGCAACGGAGTCCAACACGAGAGCGCGAGCCTTGCATACACTGTGAGGGGCTACACTTTTTTCCTGTATCCCTTTTTATTTTCTTGTGGAGGTGGGGTGCACCCACCTCAACCCCTTTTGCGGCTCCTGCTTCTTCATTTTTTCCTGCGGCCTCTCCTCCAATGGAAACCTTGACTTTTTCCTGTGGCCTTTTTTATCTGCCACCCTTCTGTTTTTCCTGCAGGGGGGTCTCCCAGCCCGTGCGGGGGGCCGATCTGGGGAGGGCCAAGGGTTTGTGCCTTCATTTTGGTTGGTTCCTGCTACTTTCTTCGTCCTGTAATCCTTTCTCTTTTTCCCTGTGGGCCATTTTTCCTGTTCGGCCGCCCCCGCCGGGGGGAGGGGAGTCTTAGGAGGAGGGCTGCGGGGGCCTCCGGAGGTGCCAGGTAGTGGATTTGTACACGGGGGATGTCTCCCTGGGGTCCCTGGGCCTTTCCTGGGCCCCGGATGGACGCTGCTAGGTTCGTTGAATATGTACAGTTCTCGTCGCTTGACCTCCCCAGATGCGGCGTCGTGATTTTGTCACAACGTCGGCCCCCAGAGGTCTGGAGAGTTCCTGTGCTAGTTTTTTCATGTCGCATCGTTTCTTGAGTCCCGAGGCCTGTGGAAGGCCCCCCGGGGATCCGTAGCCATTTTGGCTCAAGGTCTTGGCTGTCCCCGACAGTAAAACGGATACCGCCAGTCCGCGGATTGCTTCCGATCTTACGCTCGGCCTGTCAGCCCAGGCTGCGAGCTTCTTTTCCGAGTCCGATGGGGCTCGCACCTCCGACGGTTTCACATTGTGTCGGTGGGATTGCACCACGGCGGCAGCAGAGACGACCGTCGCCAGGGGTGGAAGTCCAGGTTAGGCTTGCCGTGGATCAGCGGGGCTGAGAAGTTGGAGTGCACCAGGTGCAACAATGGCAAGGCTGCAGCTTTCAAGGAGAATGTGCAGCACAAGACGCCGTCGATCTCTGCGAAGCAGCAGATAGGGGTCGCTGCGAGTCAGGCTGCGGAGGTGGAGGGAATCACCAAACGGATGGAGTTGCGAATGCAGCACATTCAGGCTGCATTCGACACGGGGCGAGATTGGAAACGTAGCTCGGCCCAGGCCCAGGCTACAGTGGTCGAGGAGGAAGGCGGCTCCCAGGCGGGGGCGAAGAAACAGAGGATCAGTGAGATCGACGGCGTTCCCGAGTGCACCAAGGATGATGTTTCGGAAAGTGCCCAGGCCTATCGAGTGGCGTTGCAGAAGGAAGACGCTGGCATCCTGGCGGGGCTGCGCGGCGCGCAGCCTGTCTCGGTGCAGCGCAATGGCCTCAACGAGAAGCTGGGCCGGGTCAAGGTTCGCATCGAGAAGGCCGAGGCGGCGGTCGCGGCCAAGACGAATCAGATTGCCGCGTTTCAGGCCGAGATGGAGGTCGAGCACACAATTCGGGAGGTGGGTTCGACCAGTGCCAAACCACCTTCGAAGAGGACAGGGGACAGTGCGCAACTGTGCGAGGGTGGAGATCGCCCTCACAGACCTGGAGGAGATCGTGCGAGTTGCTGGAGGTGGCGAGCTTGTCGAGTCCTTGCCAGAGACGTTCCGCGGCAGGCTTGCTCTGATGGGGGCGAGCCAGCTGCAGCTGCAGACCGACCAGACAAACCCGAGGCCACCAAGCCGCTGGAGGCTGTCAAGGCCTTCGTTCTGGCGGCAGGTCGCAAAGTCCCTGAGGCCGAAGGCGAAGAACGACAGCTGGCCAAGCAGATCAGGCAAGATACCAGGGCGTTTTCACCGTACTAGTGGCTGGATGTATTTCCAAGTGGGGTTGTTCATTTTCCTGGTCATGACGGTGGAGTCTGTTACGTTGGCAGGTGGCGTCTCGGGAAAGGAGTTCGCGTTGCGTGCTGATGCGGTGCCGCTTGTCCAAAGAAGGATGTTGGATGAGAGAGAGGTCGGCCCGTTTGTGCTGCTGGTCTGGGGTGCGGACGACGAGCTAGGAGCGCATCTGGGTTCGAGCCTCGCTAGTGACGGTGCTGCAGAATAGGCCTCCCTAGATGGCCAGGGGTGTGTCTCCCCTGGGCTGGGGTCAGCGGCCTGTCGGATGGCGCCGACGGTTGCCTCCCCAGATGGCCAGGGACGTTCTTCCCCTGGGCTGGGGGCAGCTGCGAGTCGAGTAGCGTCGTCGGCTATTTCCCCAGATGGCCAGGGATGCTTGTCTCCTGGGCTGGGGACAGCGGCGGGTCGGACAGCGACAATGGTTATTCCTTCATATGGCCAGGGATGCTTCTCCCCAGGGCTGGGGACATCGGCGAGACTGATGGCGGCGTCGGCTACCTCCCCAGATGGCCAGGGACGCGTCTCCCCTGGGCTGAGGACATCGGCAGGTCGGAGTGCGTCCTCAATTGGCGCGAGAGCGCAGAGTCCGAGTGCGCCATCGCGGTCACTAGGCGCAGCCGCCACGGGCGCCAGACGCAAAGACCTGGTGTGCCACCGCGGCTGCCAGGCAATGAGTCGCCACGTGGGCCAGCGTGCCCAGATGC